GCAGACCCTGCGCTGCACCGGGAACATGGCCGTGTTTGTGCACGAGTTTCAAATGTTTAATACTGTGGAGAATAATGAGTGGAATAAACAGCCCTTCTCCCTGTTTTGGCAAACCAAACAATTAAATGCACAAATCTGAAAATAATTCTTCTGTATATGTGGATTTTCTGATCAAACACTTCCTCAAACTCTGTTCACTTCTGCTCCTCTCCACGAGTGTCGCTTTTTCCCCGTGTCTCCAGACTTTGCGTAGTGCTTACAGGAGGTCCCGAGTTGGCGTAGAGTTAAGCACAGCACCACGCCTTAGTCGAGGTTCATAAATAAAGCGGTTGGTGTAGAGAACGCGTACGCAAGGATTTTTGCGTAAGCGAGCTTTATAAATGAGGCCCCAGGACTAAAACAAGACTAAATCGGGACCAAACCAAGTCTACAAAAGGACTAAACTGGGCTCAAGGCAAGACCAAAGATGAATGTGAATGCACTTTAACTTGAGTAACGGGGATGCAAACAGAGCAGTGCCTTTGGGTAGCTTTTTTTCATCAGGGACAATTGATTACATCACTTGAAAGTTATCAATATGACTCACGCAGATCTCTGCACTCCAAACATGCTGTATTACTCCTGGGTATGTATGAACAAATCAAATCGACGGTCCTTCTATGTTTTTTTTTATTACATGGTCAATAAGTTCCTGATCTTCATCCTCCATCCTCCTCTTCCTCATCACAAACACACCTGGAGTTGTGTTTTGTTTCATTCTCACGTTTAACACACAAACCCTGCAGATTCAGGCTACGTTTATATGATGACATTTTGAGATTTAGGGATGTAAACAGAATAATAATGAAGTGTTACTCAAACGTGTAAATGAAACAAAACACAACTCCACGTCTGTTTTTTAGGAGGTCACAACGTTCTAACATGACTGAAAGCTCACAAGAGTTCATTTTGCACGATACACGATTATTAAAACCTGTATTTGTGAATGGTTTGCAGCTGAAGTCTCCCTCTGTCCAACTCATTCACTTTTAACTGTCTCGAGCGTCTGTGTTCAGCTCATTCAGTGCGTTTATGAATGAACCAGAGCTGCCGCCCTCCTCCACATGTGAAACTCCAGCATAAATAAGTCATGCTGGATGCACTGCAGAGCGAAGGCTGTGTAAATCTCCTGATCTCAAACAAATCGATAAACACAGGCGCCTGCAGCTAGCGCGTTTGAATTAGCGTTCCATAATTTAACTCCCCCAGAGGAGTGAATGAAACCAGGCCTGGGCTAACTGTGCGTACGGGGAACACGAACATGTAAACTGCATATGAAACTACACAGGCTAATAACTGGTGCAGTGCTTTATTAACATGTTCTGTGTAATTTGATTAAAAAAGCGTGGCACAAAAGAGTGGATTGTAGGAACTTTAAACTGCATGTGACACAATTTACTAAAGGTAGTTAACATTAGGGTGATCAAACGTCCGTTTTTCCCCAGACATGTCAGTATTTTGCGTCCTGTCCTGGCCGTCCGGATTTTTTTTTTTAAAGTGATGCAAATGTCTGGAAGAGAGAACGCCGAGCATTTTGTCCGCAAAGTGCGATCGGGCAATTGCCGTGTTTACCTCCGTGGGGTGGAGAGCTCTCCATCAGTCCTTTCACCTTTTCACCTTTCCGAGCCTGTCCCGACAGTGAGTCCTGTTTCAGTCCTGTTTCAGTCCTGGTTCAGTCCTGGTTCAGTCCTGGTTTAGTTCTGGTTTAGTCCTGGTTTACTCCTGTTTTAGTCCTAGTTCAGTCCTGTATTAGTCCTCCTTTTCAGTTGTGGAGTCAGTCCTAGGTCAGTCCTGGGTTAGTCCTGATTTAGTCTTAACCCCCGCGATAAACGAGGGATCACTGTACTCTCACTTCACAACCTGTGCACATGGGCTCCTACTTGTCTCGACCGGGATGGAAAATGGAGAATTTCTTGTCCAAGTCATTGTTAAATGTGCATTTGCATTTCAGCATCTTGTAAGACTGACCGACTGTTTGTGTCTGCTCACTCCTTCTGAGTCACAGACACTACGAGAGACGTTCAGTTTAATGCCCCCAATGAATGGTAATGAAAACCCGGACATTTGCATCACTTTAAAAAAAAAAAACGGGACGCCCAGGACAGGACGCAAAATATGGACATGTCCGGGGAAAAACGGACATTTGGTCACCCTAAATTAGCCATGCTGTCTTAAGTTTCGTTTCAGTAAAACATAAACAAATGTGACAAAGCTGAATTATATTATCAAATGGGCTGATGTGGTTATGGTTCATATGTTATAAAGCTGAGTTTATTTATGCAGAATATTTTAATAAAAAATCTGCACATTGGGTTTGATCTGTGCAGTGGATTGTGGGATACCTTATAGCTCCGTACCGCTGGTTAGAACCTCCCGAGCTTCCTGTTTGTATTTTTCCTGGTTTATTAACTTAAATTAGGTAAATTTTTGCACTTGCACATTTGTAAAATTATCTCAAGAAACCGGGATACTCTATTTCAGAGGTGCTCACACTTTTTCAGCATGCGAGCTACTTACAAAATGACCAAGTCATAAAGATCTACCTAATACAAAGCCAAGCAAACTGCACTGAAACACTCTGTGCCCCCTTTTTTGGACCCTCACCCACAGTTTGAGAACCCCTTCTTTGAGAGAACTTCCTCTGACACTTTACACAAAACTGAAAAAAAGTGAAGGAAGATTTTTAAACCTGTTTTTTAAAGTTCCAAACTGGAGTTTTCATTCTTTTTCTGGTTTTGCAGTGATATTTACCAGCCTCTGCACATTTACCAAACCAAACGCACATCGTGACAAACACAGATGCATTTGTGCACTTTTGTTAGACAAACTTCAGCCAAATGTGGCAGTAGGTCTGTTCTGTAGATCCGCTCTATGCTGTAGACCTGCTTTGTGCCAACACTGGAACACAAATTTAGACTGGTTTTTGCTTCACGTTTGGTCTTGCTCTTTCTTCTAATCAGCCGCACTGTGGGAGGGGCTTGTGTTGGCTGTACGCAGGAAGGAGCGAGAGCGTGAAAAGGCGAGGGGCGGCGTGCTGACGTGAGGCAGATGGACAGGAAGGATGTTTAGGAAGTTGAACCTGCCCTGTGATGCACGCTGGTACACGAGGGCACACGCTGTCGCAGACGAGCCGTGCATAGGGAGCGTGTGTGTTTGTGATGTGCCGTAGAGTCTCCGCGGGTTTCAAATGAGCGCACAGGCTGCACTGAGACGCCCCACACGCTCCTGCACCCGCTACAAGTTTATTACCAACAGCAGCGGCCGTAATGAAATATGATCACACTTGTTGAGTGTCAGACCTTGAGTGAGAGACAAGACCGAGTCCAAACACGACTGAGTCTGTACTAAGACACGGTGATCTACTCACACGACCTTGGCGATCGACTGGTAGATCGGGATCGACGTATTGCGCACCCCTGCTCTATTTGATCATGTATACACGAATATGAGTATCCCAGTTTCTCAGTACGCATGTATACCCAGTATCCCGAATATGACCATGACCGGTATATGACTTATAACCGGGATGCTCATGTGCATGTATACGCACTCATTGTTCTACAGCCTGATTTTCTTCTGAACAGAGATGGGGTCATACCAGCAGGGAATGTGACAGTGCCATGAGTATATACGTATAGAGTACTGGCAATATGAATGTGTCTGAAGTGGCATATAGACCAGCTGTTTATCTCAAATGGAGAAAAACAACAATTTTTACATATATATGACTGCATGTTTGAACTCCAGGCAGCAGGACTCAAATCATAGCTAATGTTTGTCTGTAATGACTCTCCCTGCTTGACTCCTATAGCATGAATTCATTTCCATATGTTTAGAAAAACGCACCAACAAGTCCATTTAGCTCAGAGCCGCACTGACTAAACCCCTCTTTATCGCCTCATGAATCAGTCCTTTCTCTTTCACGTCACGTTCGACACAAAACGCGAGAAGATGACATCCGCGTCGGCAGAGTTATGGCTTCGAAAGGTTAACCTCGGACTGAAAAACAAGGGAAAAAAAGACATCGGGAATTCTAGGTTTTTGACGAATCACCGCTGCTGAACACACGCCTATGTCCCATTTAAACAGCCCATCATCGTCCATCAGCTAAACACAGATCTCTCATTTCAATACGCCGTGCATCTGAGCGAAACGGAGGCAGTTCGGAGGAGCAGTCGGCGCAGTAGGTAAAATATGGCATAAGCGAGCGCACAGTGTGAAGGGAGGCGGGCCGTACACTGAGAGATGTGGGTGGGAAAGAGCCAGGGTTATCCATCAACTGTCCGTATCTGAAAATAAATGTTTTCATGGAAGCAGATGACTGATATAGTATCTTTATTTATTTATTCAACAAATCAGAATCATGTGAAGACAAGCTTAAAGAGGGGGTTGTATACAGAATCGATTTTTTTGAGCTTTCTACCGTGTTATATACCGTGTTCCCTCGTCACAAACCTGCCAGGAGAGGTGTTAGATATCATCCATGCATAATTTAGTGATCTCTCTGGGGTGTATTAGAACCTGTAAGAGCTGTAAGATTTTATCTAAAGCTCTGCCCACAAGCCTCCGCCGTCCGTGCTCCACGAAGACAAGACAGTTCTCCATAAATATACCAAAGCAGGATACAAAACTGTACACAACAACTGGTGACACTGATTTTTTTTATTCAAATAAAATGGCAAATATTGGTAGGGACTATTTTGTTTTCCCCAAATATTGGTTGTGACATGTCCCCACTGTCCCTATGCAAACCTATACCCTTGGATTTTTATTCTTTAACAAAAACAGAACTAGTTCATTTGAAATGATTTACAGTGGTCAAAATTCCAGGTATATAATTTTCTGGTTTAGTCCTTGGTTAGTTCTGGTTTAGTCCTGCTTTACTCCTGGTTTTCAGAACACTATCAGACCTCCTCGTTGTAAGGCAGTTGTGTTTGACTGTCTCTTTCTCTTTCCTTCAGGTCTGCTGACCCTGGTGTCTGCCCTGGACTATGAGTTGTGTCGTGAGTATTACCTGTCAGTGGAGGGCAGCAGGGGGCGCTCTGCTCTCAGTGACATCACCACAGTGTATATAAACGTGTTGGACGTGAACGATAACCCGCCGGTGTTTGGGAGGGGTGACTACAGCACAGAGGTGTCAGAGGACCTGAGCCCGGGCAGCCTCGTCATCAAGGTAATAATAAACAAACATCTAAAAGTTAGACTTTGACTTGAGTCACTATTTTTAGAACTTGAGACTTGACTTGATAAAATGGACTAATACTTGGGTCTCGAGTTGGACTTGAAGGGCAATGACTTGAGTCTTCACTCGGGCTTGAGGCCTGTGACTTGAGAAGACTTGATGCTTCTCCTGAAAAAATAAATGTTTTTTATAAAATACTTTTCTCTTTACAATTTATAAATGCGGTGCAAAATTTTAAAGGAACAAACTGGAACATGTCCCTCCCACTTCTCTGTTACTTTGGATGAAACTGAAGTACTGTGATGTGGTGTCCTCAAATGTACTACAGTAATATGTAGTACAATACAGTAAGACAGAGGGAACTACAGAGAACATGATCCTTCAGGACAAAATAACTGTTTTAGATCTGAATTCTTTCTGTTCTGACCGTAATGATTCCACTAAGATCTTGTCAAGACATTTAAAAAGGAAAGATTAACCTTTTTATAACTCTTATATGAATACTCACATATAAATATGACTTTTTAAGAACAATTTAGTTTAAAATATATATAAATTGCAAAAATCAAAGGAATATTTGTTATTTTTAGTTTAAAAACTTGAAATGACTTGAAGCTCAAAGCAGACAACTTAGACTTGACTTGGACTTATGGGCCAGTGACTCAAGACTTGACTTGGACTCGCCTGTTTTTGACTTGGGACTTGACTCAGACTTGAGGTCAAAGACTTGAGACTTGCAAAAAAAAGACTTGGTCCCACCTCTGTGTGTAACAGTTTATTACTGTGTAATAATAACTTATCAGTTGTACAAAATATGAGCTCATCAATGTCCCAGATGACATAAATAATGTAACATTTAGGAAATTATCACATAATCAATAATTAAACATAAATACACGATTTTTAATGACAGAGCTAAAGCCAGTGACCCGCCTCATGTCCGACACTCCGACACATGACTACAGGTCACCACAAGAGGGCGCTAGTCAAACAAAATGCATGAGCCCAAATCAAAGTAATGAGAAGAAAAGCTCATAAAAGTGATTGTTTTAAAGTTCTGCCATTCTTCAGTTTACTTTTACTACTTTCACCACTACGAGGCTTCCACTTTAGTGACTACATTTGTGAAGTTGTTTATTTCTTACTTATTTTATCTTCTTACATTGCAAATACACAGAACACTGTGTAACATGTTTTATCAAGAGCAGTATCGGAGCTGCTCAGACCTCCCTCTCCCCAGACGCCTCCTCCCTCTCCTCAGGACTAACCCAAGGACTCTTACGAACCACTATTACTGTTGAACTATCCCTTTAAATCCATGCTGCGTCCATCTTGTACATTTGCTGATACATCACATTTGTGGTATCTTTCTCGTGTCAGAGTGATAACAGCGCTGGGAGTGACGCGGGCAGGATTTGTGTTCATTATTGTGGACGAGAACTGATGGAGAGGACACAAAATATGCAGAAAAAAAAATAAAAATAGCGAGACGTGAGGCATAAACATGTCCACAAACAAGATAAGGATGTCACTGTGCGCTGATGCTTTTATACACGGCATTTGTCTGACCTGCTTTAGACCCGGTTTAGATCTGATTTAAACCTAGAGAAGTCCTTCTTTAGACCTTGTCTTTTGTCCTGGTTTAGACCTGGTTTGGTTTTGGTTTAGTCCTGGTTTAGATTGGGTTTTGATGTAGTGTAGTTTCTACTTTAGTCCTGCTTTATTTTTTTCTTTTATTTATTTTTACCTGGTTTTGTCCTGGTTTAGACCTGCTTTTCACCTAATGTAGTCCTTTTAATCCTGGTTTAGAACTGGTTTAGTCCTGGTTTAAACCTGCTTTTGACCTAGTGTAGTCCTTTAGTTCTAGTTTAGGCTTTGTTTAGTCCTGGTTAAGACCTTGTTTAGTCCTGGTTTAGTCTTGGTTAAGACCTTGTTTAGTCCTGGTTTAGTCTTGGTTAAGAACT